TACAAAGTAACATAGTGGCATATTTTTAAAATCCTTTTTCAATTATTTTCAAATATTATTTTGATATAATTTTCAAGTAAAAGTTGTAATATTTTTAATAAAATGCTTAAAAGTGTACTAACTGCAGAAAAACACATTCATTAGGAATATTTTTGATTCGAATCGTGATTTTAAGACTAAAGGTTTTAATTGAATAGAAGTCATGGAAAATACCAATTAGAATTAAATTCATTGCAAAACAAAAGATTTATTGAACGAGGAACTAAAATCTCAAAAAATTATATTCTCAATACTTTAGAACAAAATATTTTAATATTTTTCATATCGAGAAATACATACAAACACATGCATACTTAATATGTACTTTGAAAAGGAATTAAGTTTCCTGAGATCCTGAGTGGAGCATACTTCTCAATTCAAACACTAATCAAATCTCTTTTGCCAACAAATTGTTCATTGCATGGACATACATACAACACTTAATGACCTGTTGTAGCATTTTTCTTACTCTTACACTTTTACACAAAAACAAAAAACAAAAACAAATAATTCATGGTTAATAGGTCACAGCAAAGAAACGTTGCAATAACTTCGCTCGAGGAACACTGCACATAAACATAATCTCCACACATGCGTAAATACATAGATAAATGCAAATATATTGTTATTTACTTTATGAACCACATTTAATTTTACTTGAAGCTCACGATTATTTCAGCGCTAATTATAAAACATTTGTGCAACTATGAATGCGGTCATAAATCACCAAAAGTCATAAAAACAACTTCACTATACAAAACAGAGATGTATGTTATATGTGTGCGTGTCGATAATGTCATAATCGCATGTCCTTCGTCAATTATGCACATATGTACATATGTATATATGTGTGTATGCATGCATTCCTATTGTGATGTAACCACTGTGTGGATCCTGTACCGGATCTGCTGCACTAAAACACTGATATCCGTTTGATTTAGTTGTTGTTATTTTTGTAATTAAATACTCAATAATCAATCTTAAAATATTTTCGTTTAATCAAAGTCTTTTCCATATACATATCGTATTGTATGTACACAGTTGTGTTGGACGAATTAAAAACAGAAATTTTTTGAAACTCACTTGTATTGTGTTTGTTTGAAATTTTTCTTGATTTTGCGAAAATACTTTTGATTTCAACTAAATGACACGATCGCACAAATAGACCACTTGTTTTCGTTTGTATCAATATTTTCGTAAGATCTGCCTTTTATACGCCACACCGGAATTTTGTGGGTGAGCAGCGCTCACAGCACAGACGTCTGCATCATCATCGCTAACAACATCATCATCATCATCATCGTCTTCAACGGCGGCAGCGGCAACGTCAGCGGCAGCGGTTGACATGCCACAAGTTTACGGCGCCAAAAATACCAGTGCTGGGAGACTTAAGCAAAATAACAGCAACAACAACACAACTGAGTGGTATAGACCACTTATTCAGTCGACGAAAATTATTCGCTCCGAGCTTTGTTGGCGACAGATCGTTAACAATCTGAAGCTGAAAGTCGCTCTCACGCTCTCTTAGTGTATGTCTTTAGAGCATTATCGCGCTCTTTGTGAGCGTCTTAGATATGCTTCGTATATATTTGTGTGCTTACCTGCAAATATACAAGTTGAGCAAACTATTTACATTAATTAATCTGTTTTACGGATGCTTTGCTAGCCAAATTCCATCAGCTACATACATACATACATATATATGAAAGAAGATGGGCATACGTTTGTGCGCGTGTGTTTTTGTGTTTGTGGGTTTCTTTTACTCCATTGTAATAAAATTATGCTGTTGATTCCGATTCCAGCATGCTTTGATTTGAACATGTCAACAAGTATGGGCATACTAACTGCTCAGTGTGGGGACAGTTCTCAATAATATTTACATGTACATTTACATTCATACATATGTATATATTTATGTAATGCTAATGTAAAATTATTTAAAATAGCTTAACAAAATTCCAACTATTGTTATTTGCTTTCTTCTTTAAACTATTTTTTGTTTATGATAGTATATGTGTTATTAGTGTAGCAGAAGATAATTAATCGAAGGAATCAGCAAAATAAATTGTTTTGGCGGTTTCTCTAAAACACAAAAAATCAATAGATTTTTGACTAAAAATATATTTAAGAATCTAGTGTTAAAATTTGCGACAAATGGGCTTAGTCGTTTTCGAGTAATGTTGTTCAGCGACTTTGAAAATACCATTTTTAGAAAAAGGCGTTTAAAGTACGCAATGCATTTGGAAGTGTAACGTAACTGCCTTTTTTCCAATAAATTCATTCGAGGCTACTGCAATCCTAACGGGACTTATTGTCGTATTTTGTATGACTATCTCTATTAATTTTCGACTTTCTCTTTGAGTCATCACCGCTTTCCGCCCTGTCTTCTTTAAATTGTTGAAGCAATTATTATTCTCCTTCTTCTTAAGTAACTAAATTGAAAACCGTTTTTCTTGAAATTTTTCAGCAATTTACTTACAAAGAAGCTGAAATTCCACTTTTAAACTTGGTTTATTTATAAATCATAAGCTTGAAGCACTTTTAGTTTATTACGAACATGTAGAATAACTATGAACCACTGCTTAGGTTAATTGGCTGATTAAAGATCGCACGTGGGCTGCTATGTATATATAGTCATTTGTGAAGCCATAGAAAATAAAAATTCCTGAGTTCGAACTTGATTGAATTTAATTTCTATTCCCGCCAGTCCGGTGGTATTTGGCCAAAATTCGTGAAGATACCTTGATAAATTAAAAATTTGTCTATACAAGGACTAGAGTATGACCAATTTAAACACTTTCTTTGGAGATTATAGAGATGACTCAAATTATAATATATGCAAATTTCGAAAAGATACTTTGTCAAATTAAATTCCTTACTGGGCAGCTACATATACTATATATATTCTGGAGGAGAAAAGAGCTTATCGCACAGCTGGTCTAAGCTAGGTATTGGGATACCATACAGTTTCAAGCAAAGCTGTATCGGAAATAAGTGGAAGCACGTCCGTGGAGCTACTGTTAAGTAAAAGAAAGAAACTGTGAATGTTGAAGAAACAACGACAAAATGTCACCACCACATGAGCAATAATAAAAAACCATACTGTACAGATGTTATCCGGGCACGGACACTTTAGGAAATATCTATATAAAATGGGAAAAGCCGAAGAGCCATCTTGTATATATCTATATGTAATGACCCGATTGAGGATGACCCTTACACATAAACATACACTTTTCAAATGTATACGCCGGTAAATGCAGCTAAGTTGGGTATATAATTTCGTCGGCCTCCTGAATGTGGACAAAATTATACATAACCATCACGCTTTAACAAGTACAAGGAGGTGAAAAATTACATACGAAACTTACTACAGTTGAAAACAGTCCCATACGCAGTTATGCACTTGTAAGACTTAAGCCGCGAAGTATGGAACGCACGCATGAAGATATGCTGATGTGGTTCCACTGTGGGCGACGGTTCTCTAGAAGACGGTATTTTGGTGGCCTACATTTGGCACATACAATTGCTATAACAACACATTGATTATGCGGAAGATACTTTCCTCATCCCACCTCGGAATAAATTTGATCAATGGACATTCTGCTAAAATTGTTAAATTATTTTCCTTATTTTCATTAAATATTTTTCAAGAGGTGTGCTTCCAAACAATGAAGTCTTCTTAGTTCTAAAAATGAATTTATCTAAACTTTGGGTTTCTCCTTTTTTGGTTTTATTTATAAATTTCTCGAAGTTTCTTTAAATTTTTTACTGTGTTCTGTAGCTCGTACCAGCTGGCTCAACATCGTTTTGCGAATTAAGTTTTCTCGATAAATAAACAAGTAAACGTTAACTTCGTCTATACCGAAGCTATAATAAATATATAATAATAATAAAAGTAGTAGGAAGTTTGATATAAATTCTTTCGAAATTGCAATATAGCCTTAAAAACTAGTCCAAGCCAAATTTCTTGAGCTATATCGTCAAACAAAAAGGCTTTCCATATAAGCACTTTGTTCCGACAGGGCAGCTTATATGGCAGCTATATGTTATAGTGTTCCGATATCGGTGATTACGGCAAATGAGCAGCTTATTGCTGAATCAAGGGCGTGTGCAAAATTTCTGGTCGGTATCATTGATATCAAAAATTGATAGAGTAGCTTGCATACTTGTATAAACAGACGGATATGGCGAGATTGACTCAGCCCGGCGTTAGGATTACAGATTTTCTGAACCAATCTATATTTTGATTTCTATATTAAAGATGTATAAGTGACGATACTCGATAAGTTTTCCGATATTTTGTACTATTACATTTCCTTTACTCCTTAAAAAACATAACTAATACAATAAATGAAATAATTCAGAAAATACATATTTTGCTCATTCGATTCAATTTTATATTAACAAATATATGTTTAAAAGTATTATTAATAATTATGTCGGCTTTTAGTAATATTTTATTTTAACAAAAATAAGTATATGTACGTTAAATGCGAATATGACTGATAGTTTCGCATAAAACCCCTATTAATAAAGTAATAATTATATTTTATAGTCATTAATATCATTCAGTGAAAAATTCTGCAAAGAAACTGACAAAAATTATTGATTAATCAATTATATTTGATAAATCATTGTATGTTCTTTGTAACTATGAATGCTTTTTTTATACAATTAACTAGTGTGAGGCGTACAATTATGTATTGAAAATAATTATCGATAATGTGTTGGAACGCTTTTGGAGCAACAATGCTATCGGCTTGCAAGTAGACGCAAATAATTTGTGGTACTTATTCGATTAAATTATTAGTTAATTCAGTAGCTATGGCGAGATTAATTGTTCGACTTAGCTGAGCATCAGCACATAATTGAATAAAAATTATAAAACAATTAAAGCAAAACTTAATTAAACTGCCTTTGGAAAAAAGAAGCAGCTAACTAATTATTTTGAATGCGAAATTAAAGAAAATCATATTTATATATATATTTGTTTGACTATTGCAATTTTTTCATTGGGGGTGTTTTTTCTACGTGACGTACAACCCTATGTAGGGGATGTTTCGCCTTCTCACGTTAGCTCGCCTTCAAACGGACGTTCTTAGGCTACCCAGAGGATACTTGGTCAAAGACCGGAATTCGTGAGCTGCTTGAGTCATATGTAGAAGAATCGTTTCTGGCCACTCCCAAGTGAATGGCGCTCAGAGAAAGAGTGGGGAAACCACTTGCGTGAACTTCTACACATGAGCCCATCCCCCTGTGCAGCAAAAAAACACACGCCAACAAACACAAGGAAGGTTCGACGTCGAGAAGCTGCAATCACAGCAGACAGCCGAACGATTTCTACTCGGCCTGCACTCCTGCTCTCTGAGAGCACTCGTCAACAACTCGGTATAAGGGAACTGTGGAACGGCATTTCAAACTCCTTACATACAGCTGCAACCGAAACCATTGGTTTTCGGAAAGTGCAAAAGAACAGCTGGCACGGCGAGGAGTATCGTGTCGCAGCGGAGAGAAAACAGGCTGCCTACCTCGCAACGTTACGATCGATCACAATACGTGCAGGTTGGTATAGATACCGAGAGTTGAAGAGGGAAGCGAGACGCATTTACAGACAGAAAAAGAAAGAGGCCGAATGCGTGAGTACGAAGAGCTTGATAAGCTGGCCAACAGGGATAATGCTCGTAAATTCTACGAAAAAATGCGGCGGCTTACAGAAGGTTTCAAGACCGGAGCATACTCCTGTAGAACCCTCAAAGGTGATCTAGTCACCGGTGCCCAGAGCATACTTAAATTGTGGAGGAAACACTTCTCCAGCCTGCTGAACGGCAATGAACATACAACGCCAGAAGAAGGCGAACCCGATACCCCAGTCGATGACGATGGAGCAGACGTTCCATTGCCCTACCATGAAGAAGTTCGAATAGCAATTACCCGCCTGAAGAACAACAAAGCGCCGGTGGCTGATGGATTACCGGCCGAGGTATTCAAACACGGCGGCGAAGAACTGATAAAGAGCACGCATCAGCTTCTTTGTAAAATATGGTCGGACGAAAGCATGCCCAACGATTGGAATTTAAGTGTGCTATACCCAATCTACAAAAAAGGAGATCCGACAATCTGCGCCAATTACCGTGGTATAAGCCTCCTCAACATCGCGTACAAGGTTC